ATACCTCAATGGGTCTGTAATTCCAGTTGCACCTGAAGTAAAAGAATTTTTAGGGGTGATGTTCGACCGAAAATTGACTTTCCTTCCTCATGTCTTAAACTTGAGAAAAAAGTGTACCAAAGTTCTAAATATCTTAAAAGTCCTGGCGAACACCTCCTGGGGTGCAGAGCGTTGCTCCATGCTTCGCATTTACAGAGCTGTAATTCGCTCTAAACTGGACTACGGCTCAGTTGTTTACGGATCTGCCCGGTCTTCAGTGTTGTTAAAACTAGATCCTGTTCATCATCAGGCTCTGCGGATTTGTTCTGGAGCCTTCAGGACATCTCCTGTGCAGAGCCTTTATGTTGACTGTCACGAGCCATCACTCCGTTTGAGGCGTGAGGAGTTGTCTCTTTTACAGTATTTTAATATATTGTCTCAACCTGACCATCCTTACAAACTGTGTTTATCTGATGATAGATGTGGCCATTTATTTGAAGCACGTCCATCCTGTGTGCCTTATTTTCCTATAAGGGTTCGTTTGCTCATTGATGAAATCTCCTTATCTGATATGTCCCCACAAGCAGTACAGAATTTTGAGATCCCACCTTGGGAAAATGCACAAATCCAGCTTCTTGACATTTTCCACAATTACAGAAAAACAACCACAAATGACATCATATACAGACAAATTTTTGCTGAGCACAGGCATAATTACAGCAGTTATCTTCCCGTATATACGGATGGATCAAAGTCAACTTGTCACGCTGGGATGTCCTGTATAATTGGTGACCACTTGGAGGGCAGACGTTTACACGACGCCTCCTCGGTCTTAACCACTGAACTGACTGCTATCTATTATGCGCTTTTGTACATCTCAACGCTTTACTATAAAAATTTCATTATATATACAGACTCCTACAGTGCACTAAAAGCTTTAGAATCCATTTCAAGCCCCGACAATCCTGTGATAGTGGATGTATTGAAGCTAAATATTAAATTAAGAAGTCGTGGATATGAAATTCTGTACTGCTGGGTCCCTGGACATGCAGGAATAAAAGGCAATGAGCTGGCAGACATCACAGCAAAATCTGCTGTTGTTGAAACGTCTGGCCGCCTCATCCCTTTTAGAGATATCTGTTGTGTTATCAAAGGGAAGATCAGATATAAATGGCAACAACTTTGGGACATTCAGATACATAACAAGTTGAGAAGGGTGAAGGCTAAAATAGAGCATTGGCACACTACTTGCAATCGTAAGGAACAAGTTCTTTTAACTCGTCTTAGAATTGGTCACACTAGAGTAACACATAACTACCTTCTGAAAGCTGAAAACGAGCCTGTTTGTGCAAACTGTGATGTTTGTCTCTCAGTGTATCACATTTTAATTGAATGTCCATATTTTAATAGTCTTCGTGAGAAGTATTTTAATAGCTGCGACTTGCCTCTCGACCGTTTAATCGGAAGAGAGGTCAATACCAATTTGTTTGACTACCTGAAAGAAACAGGTTTCTATTATTTAATTTGATTTTGTCTTGAGATTTTTTGTTGGAATTTTAATGAATCAGATATTTTAAGATTATATATCTACATTGCATATTTCATTATCAGAGTCATAATCAACATTTTCATCCCACCATTTCATCATCTTTTTACTTTCCTCCATTTTAAAAGTGTGCTGTTGCTTTAGATTTTTTTCTTTTCTACTTTCTATGCGAAATACGAATCCTGCGTTTGGCGCATATGGCCTATAGAGCTTTGCGCCATAAATCTACCACCACCACCACCATCAGTTAGTATAGAATACATTAAAAATGGGGTCACATACAATATCAACTTTGACATATAAACTATTTTTCGCAAATACGTACTTTTTTCTCGAAATGGGTTGTTTTTCTTCTGCTTTTCTTTTGGCACAAGAGCTAGTTGATTCTCTGGGAACATCTAGGGTGCGGTCTTCATGGTTCAACACTTTATCGTTCAAAGGCATAGGTTCTTTCTCAAACAAGTTTTCCATCTGAAAGAAAGTAAAGCCAAATTAAATACACATTGTTCCACAATTTTTAAAGATTAAACTTCTAAAAAACAGTAAATTTTCAATAAGTTACTTACTTCTTTGTTGTTTTGTGGCTGATCCATTCGAAGCAGTGAAGAATGATTGTCGAAGCAAAAGCAGGTACCTACACTCAGGGCGACAAGCAGGAAAGGAATGCGGAACGTTGCTCGGGATAACCTTATTTCGGGTAGGAACTCTTTATTTCATCTGAACGGTGATTGGTTAAGAGACGGTGAGGTCATATTTCAAAGAATCTGATTGGTTCACAGAAAAGTATCCATACACCTCAGCGGAGGCATACAAAGGTGTGATACGGCAGACGCCATTTTGTAAAAACATGTCCCAACAAGAAATGGATGATGTCATTCAAAATACGTGGTTCAAGTATTCGTTGCCCCAAAACCTAAACAAATAGTGTCGTTGCCACAAAAACGAAACTTTGAAAAGTATTATCGTTGCCACAGAATCAAAACGAAACTTTGATGATGTCATTCCGTCTACGTCATCCCATCCAACTACGTCACTTCCGGTTGTCACGTGATCCAAGATGGCGGAGGCCACCCCTCGTGATGTCACTTCCGCCGCGCGGTTTGTGGGGCTTACTACTATTATAGATAATTCAAAAGGCCTTAGCAATCAAAAGGTTTGAAATAAACTACAATTCTATAATTTTAAAAAGTTAATAATTTTTCATAAACATCACTATTGTATGTTTGAATATAATCCATATACTATACTTTTCTTCATTCTTTTCTTTTCGGATGCCAAGCATGAGTTAAGACTTCTTAAAATGATAAGCTCATTGGCGTTCCCGCTTCTGAGTTCTATAAAAAGCATATCTCTGCATGTTTCATTTTCAAGACTGTTATTTTAGAAACGTTACTACGAAACATCGCCTGATTCACAATACTGTGCTATGTTGTCCGAAATCGTACGTAATAAAGAACAGGTGTCTAATTTAAGTGACACTCCATTCTCAAGTGCTACGGATTATCATTTAATATCCCCAGTTCCTGTTCAAGAACCAAGTAACTGACAAACACCAGTACCATGAAGCACACCAAAGTCGCATTATTCAGCGAGAAAATATACGCCCACAAAATCAGTATTGGTAAATACTGTTAAAAAGTATCGGGACATGGCAAGGCGACTAAAATTAAAAATGGCATCTTGCGAGAGAAAATCTACAGCTTATTCTTTTGAAAAACACTATTTAGTCAAGGGGTTAGCAAAAAATGTTCATTCATTCAGCGGCAGATAATATTGAACACTCAAAAAACAGAAGGTAGGCGTTTCACACAATCTGACAAAAGTGATGCCTATCGCATCTACAGTAAAAGTAGAGCAGCATATCGTGTTTTAAAAGAATTTCTTCAGCTACCAGATGAATGAATTCTTCAGCGTTTTGTGTCATCGAAGCTCTCGTACACAGGGATTAGTGCAGATGTTATATTTGCATTGAAACAATTTCTGCAAAATAAGGAGAAACATGAAAAAATGTTTGCCTTAATCTTTGACGAAGTATCTTTGAAACCTTCTCTAGTGTATGACCGACAAAAGGATCACGTGGTTGGATTTGAGGACTTTGGAGGTTTATGAAGTGATTCATTTGCCAATCATGCACGTACTAATGCTGAGAAGTTTGACTAGTGTTGTGTAGTAAAATTTACGTTTTACGAATTAAATAATTTCTTGTTCGGTTGAATTAGATAAAGTTTAATTATTGTGTCGCTAGAAATAAGCATTTACTCGTGTATATTTAATTTAAAGAGACTATTATTTTTATTTTTTTCACTTAATTCTTAATATGTTGGGAATTTTTAATATGTCTGTGAACCAGTGCCTCAAGTAAAATTTATGTAAAAATATACAGTGAAAAAGAAGTATCTTACTAACTGTAATGGATTAATTGTGAAATGTTAAGTTTGATTTAAGGTGTTAATGTAAAAGAGCAGGGTCGCCTGAAATTCGTTTCCTATCCGACATTTCGTTCACTTGTCATCTTTCATTCAAGGAATGTTCCACAAGATTCTAGAAGCTAGGCCTTTTGTTCAGGGTTTAGCTGAAGGCAGATGTACGTGATGAGTTTTCTTGTAAACAGGTGGGTTAATGGAAAAGGTCGAGAAGAGGTCAAACTCTTCCGGGCCGGTTTTTGGGAAGAATTGGCAAATTTTTGTAGGCAGCGGATTTGCTCGGTAGTGACTTCAGGGTTTTGGAAGAAAAAGATTGTAACTTTGGAAACTTTTGAGGGGCGAGTTTTGCAAAGTCTCGGAAACCGTGCTTGTCACTATTTTTAGAGTGAAATCTGAGGGTTTGGATACTAGTTGCTACTTTTGCTTCTCTTCTGTCTGTGTTTTTGCACTTGGCTTTTGGTACCTTGCAATTATGACTGCTTGCAATTATGACTTCGTCATAGAAACAGGCTATCTGGAACGACCTAATACTTTCCTTAAAATTTGCGTGCTTAATTTCCATTAGCCTCCGGAGGATTAACCTAAAAATAATACGTCATTTGATCGAAATAAAATTAATAAATATGCATGCTGTTTGATTATTGTGTGATTTATGTTAATTGAATTGGTAGTCTAAGTCGGTTATAAAATTTTTGTTTCTACTATGAATTAGGATTTTTTTATTTTTTTTATTATGACAATTAAAGGGAACCTGAATATTAACAAAGCCATTTCCAGCGGCAGTTCCCGGGGACGAATACACAACACTTAAGATACTAGTTAAACTATATGATCACTATACGGTAATTCTTATGATATATCAATTTGATTTATTTTGATTTTAAGATTAGTTTTGTCCGGCACCTTAAGTTAGAAGGTAAAAGTTTAAAAAGTAAAAATTGTAAATTGTATTTTCAATTATTTTAACACTTGGAATTGGAGGATTGAAATATCAGAGATTTCACACTAGCAAGAAAAATATACCACTTTGTTTTTACTTCTCAATCCACGCCATGAATGCAGAACGACTTCGAGATATCATAATGGTGGCATTGTCAAAATTGTCTTCTGCTAATGCTACAGATAAGGCTTTGGTTTGTGACCAGGGTGGAAGTATCTGTAGATTGTTTGGTCTCCTAGGAACAGAATCTGCAAAGCCATTCTTCTATTTTAATGGGCAGAAGGTTTTTTGTTTGTTCGATCCACCACACCTTTTAAAAAATTTACGACGTAGCCTTATGAAATATGACCTCCAAACTAATAAAGGACTTGTGTCATTCAAGCACATTCGAGATTTTTACACAGTGGATCAAACACTTCTTGTTCGCTGTGCACCAAAAATTACCGATGCACACATATACGTGGCTGGCATGAATTCCATGAAAGTTGCGCTTGCTGCGCAAGTTTTTAGCCACACAGTAGCAGCAGGAATGAATATGTGTGTCCTATCTGGACTAATAGAAGCAAGTGCTGCTCCAACGGTAGAATTTATACAAGAGATAGACAATTTGTTCGATTCTATGAATGGAATTCGAAAAAATCCCTTAAGGGGGAAAACAATTACATTGTGCTGTAACAGAAGGTTCTGAACATGTTAAATTTTGGACAAACATGCTGTCATTCATTGACTCATGGGTTTTTCTGAAACCACTTGCACAAAATCAAGGAAGGTCCTAAGAAGGCATGTCGCAGGATGCGGTAGTAGAAAAGGTTGGACCCAGACAATAACAGCCATGTTGCAGCTTTCGGAAGAGATGCTGAAAGAACGCGAATTCTTTATGACAAAGAGATGCAACCAAGATTGCCTTGAAAACTTTTTTAGTCGTATCCGAGGAAGTGGTGGAAACCGTACAAATCCATCGGCTTACGAGTTTTCATCAGTATTCAAGATTGCATCACTAAATTCATTCCGATGTAAAAGTAAATTCTCCAACTGTGAACCAGATGGGGATCAATTTATGTTTTTTATTTTGGCTCCTGTACCTCCATCTACAAGTATAGAAAGTAAAGGAGATGCAGAGGAGGAGGATGAACAAAATAGTAGAAATAAGGATTTTGATGATAGTTTAGTCATTCACTGTGATTCTTCCTGCTGTTATGCAAGTTTTTATGCAAGTTTTCAAAAACTTGATAAATTATCACTAAATGTAGTTGCTTTCTTAAGTGGATATTTATCCAGAAGAGTATTACGTTGCCTAAAGCTAAATGAGTGCGATACATGTAAAGTGGCTCTTATAGATAGGGCAAAGCCTATGCTACAGCATACTCTGTTCTTACATTTTAAAGAATATAAGGATCAAGATGTAACAGAAGGAGGACTAACACATCCGTCAGAAAAGATGACATTATGCATTGCTGAACTTCTGCATATATCCAACACTTTTTTATCTAGCCGCTTGTCATCACCTGACATCCTGCGGAATTTGAAAAATCTCTTGTCGCAGTCGTCAATGTTTGAATTTCTAAACTGTGAGCTTCATGCTGAAAATGTTAAAGAAAAGGTTTTGTCTTTTGCCTCTGCTCTCTTTCTGAAAATTCATCTTCGTGAAAAAAATAGAAAGATTGCAAAATCTAAAGTCGATTTAAAAAAAGTACAAAAGGGACAACTTAAATAGAACTGATAAGGGTTCTAGTGTAGAATTGAGTGTACGTTCGATTACGAACAATTTTGTTAAATTTTGGTGATGAAACCTCATTTCTGGTTACCATGATAGTTTTAGCTCCCGGTTTTTTCTGAATGAAAATAAGATTAATGTGTACATGGACTCGGGTAAAGGTTACCATGTGCTGATATATGAATAGCCTGTCTACAAATAAGTGTTTCACCCATTAATAGAACTTTTCTCGGAAATTCGAAGTTCATGCTTGCTTTTTAATGTACGTAGGTCTCATTTCATAGACAAAGAATGGCTAACGAGAGCATAATTACAATATTTGCTCTCAGTATCGTAACTAAAAAGTGGCAAAATTTTCGATTCTCAATTAACTCTCTCCTGGATTAAAGATTTCTCTGAGAAATTGAGAACCAGTAACAGCAAAGGTATTGAATGCTCTGCCAAAATATATTTTCTAGAAGATTTGAGTTTGATAATAAATGTATTCTAAAACGTGTTTCAAAGTGTGAAACTTGATGGCTGACTGTAAATATAAAATTTTGTATGTTAAAATATTTCTAATTAGGCATATAAGGTTAAGTTTTTGTTAAATAGAGTAAGTCAGGCAAGGGTTATCTGCCTAAATGGAGAGATGCCATCGTGAAGGAATTTCAACGCAAAACTGACCTTTGAGTGTGTATTAAAAATAATGCATGTAATTTTCATTCAAATTATATTCATACATATTTCCCCTTATGTAAAAATGTTGGGTATATGCTAAATTATTATAGATTACTTTACTCAAAAAAGATTGTAAATGCACAGAAATTAAAGATTTGCACATGCCGAAAGTGTGAAATATGTATGGGTATTTATGCTTGTATTTGCAAAAAGTATGTATCTGCCTTTAACAAGATACGTAAATATTTATTAAATTATTTATAAATGTATTTGAAATAAAAAAAACTCCCGTGAAAATTACTTTGAAGAAATCTAATTATTAAATGTATCTAAATTTATAATAATTATAAATATTATCTAAATATATAATAACCTTAACATTAAATTGTAAACATAAATTGTAATTCTGCTGACAAATACATTATAAAACTATTTAAGCATGAATTGTTTTGTACTGGAAAGCAATCTGTTAAAAGGTACTGCAAAGCAAATTCTATGAGATGCGTACTTAAGGAAGTAATAAAGAAGAGTTTTAGGATATGTATTGTTGAAATTAAGGATAAAAAAGTCTGATAAGTATAATTAAAATAATTATTGCCCTACATTTTGTAATAACGCAAGTACAAGTTTTAAATAATATTTAAAAAAATCCTTTTTTATTCCCTTTTTAACGTAGTATTTCACTATTAAAATAAAAGGAGAGCTAATTTGAAATGGACCGAATAGAGCATTAATTACAAATTGACTTGGATTTTTTTCATTTAAAAGATGCATCAGAAGCTAAAAAAAATCATGTCATATTTGAGAAAGTATTTTAGGCAGAAGTTCTATAAGTAGAGAAGAAATAATGCGTAATTTTAATGTTAATAACACAATAAAATTTGTTTAAAAATGTATTCTTTCCGTACACTTAGGACTCTGAAATATTGTAGAAATAGAAAATATATAAATGTATAATTACGACGCACTTACAAAATATTTACATTCGATCGTGGCCAAACCCATTGATCTTAAATCCCCCAGTGTTTTGGTCAACGCGAAGGGATCGCAGTGCTTCAAAACCGATTAGGGACCCTCCATCTTACTTTCTACAAGGCCAACTTAACTTGCTTGGCTATAAGTTGGCCTTGCTCTACCTCCATGCGTCTCTGTAGGGGAGAGGAGGAGGGGGAGAGATTTAGTTTACATCGCCACCTCTGCAATGAATTGGCGCTGCAATTTGGCGTCAGGTTATAGTATGGGAGTGCCGACGCTTTACTTACATACAGCTTTGGTGTCGGCTGAGAGCGTGGCAGGTGCATCGTGCAACTTCATCAATGACATCACACCAGGGGCGTGGCCTATGAAGTCAGGAGTTGAGTTGAGTTTTTTCAGGTTACTCATTGGGTTGTAAACCTCCTACTTTTCATTTAAATTAATTTTTTCAAAATTGGCAAAGGGGAATATTTTCTGATTCTTAATTTTGATGATATGCTGATGCTGCCCTCTGTTGATGAAGAAGTGAATTATACGTTTTAGAAATATATTTTGAAGTCTGGTGTTAAAATTATTCAACGCGCGACACTGAAAACAGTATAAGACAAATAAATATAAAAAAGACTTCTCTCTAATGACAATGCATGATGTCATGTCATGAAACTACATGATAATTGTTTTTTATTTATTATCCTACTTAAATTTATTTGATACTTTTATCCTTTCTAGTTTTCCATGAAATTTAATTTATTTCTTGTGTTTTTTGTTCATAATAGCATATTTGTTTACTGTCATATTTTTTTAATACTTAACGTTTTTAATTTGTAAAATTTTATTTAATTTTCACATATTATTTTTTTTACATCTTTTAGAATTTTCGACATACCCTGAATTTTAACTTACACGTTATATTGAACAAACATAATTGTTCTCGTACATGCTGTTTAGGTGATACATTACTTAGTTTCAGATGCAATTTCGCACATTTTTTAACGTTATAGTGTTCAATATATTCTGAATTTTATCTTCATTTACATAATTACTGTTTATTACATCGTTTAATTTTAAACATAATATTTAACATCATTTTTTTTGTCTATTTTTTAACCGTTCTAATTTTTTATACACACTTTCATTTTAACTTACTTGTTTTAAATTATCTTTAAATAGAAACGTTTAATTTTTCACGAGCTTAGTTCTTTTACTTAATTTTCTACAGAATTTCCAATTTCTTTCACATGTTTAACTATATCTTCCTTACACTGTCCAATATTTCCTTTTAAATTCAAGTCTATAACTGTTAATTATTTTTCTTGCGTATTTTTCTTAGCTTATATTTCATAATTCTAGTTTAACTTATTTATTATACTGTTTTCATTTGTCACTATTCAAAAAGATGAAGGTTTCAGTCACCGATTTCTTCGCGCAGACGTTCATTGGCTTTAAGACAGAATTTGAACTTTCAATTCCATCCTAAAGTTTTTATAAGGACTCAAAAAAATTAAAAGTGCATTTTTCTTATTTAATTGATTTGTTTAACATTCAGTGAATTGAACTTTCAGTTATAAGATGATACCTTAAAACTATTTTTTTTTAAAGATTATTTCTGTGTTTATATCAGAGTTTCAAAAGCTTGTTATTTGAAATGGGAAGAATCTAATCATTTTTCAAATTTACCACTGTAGAAAAATTATGAATATCTTAATAAACACTGCCAATATTTGGAAGCTCTGGAATCCACGGAATGATTGCACCTTGTTCTAATGTCACATCCACGGGCGAGGTGCAGTAGCACCTTAATGTACTAAAAACCGTGAATGGCCTTCATAGGCGGCACAGATTGAGCAGGTCAAAACTCAAAGTAGTTGTATACCTGAGGTGAATCAGACCTAAATGCCTAAGCTCTGGAATCGGATTTCAAGAAACGGTTTTTAAATATTTTAAAAATGGATGCACCCAACTAACTCTTATATCCATTTCTTTGTGGAATTTCAGAAGCATCTCCAAAGTGGTAGACGAAGTCATAAAGTTAAAACAAATGAAAAGCTGAAATTGAAATTTAAATACGATTACCAGTAGTTTAGCTGCAGAAGCAGATTCTTGAGTTTTATCCTGATCTATGGAATATTTTACGAAAATCTTTCATAGTTCCTCTCTGTCTTTTCTAGTGGGACATAGGTTCATTGCTGTAACAATTTAATAACTAAAAAAGAAATCGACTGCAGATTTCTCGAATTACAGAGAATTGCAAAGATCTGATAATGTTTTGTGGTAAATGGTGTAGAATATTTACACACTGGTTGGAGCACATCAGGCTCAGTTTTCTCATTATATTGTTA